CTAACTGTTGCATCTATCTATCTATCTATCTATCTATCTATCTATCTATCATCTGTCTGTCTACTTGGTGCTCTGTGTGTGTGCGCAGTACACACATGCCACAGTGTGCGTGTTGAAGTCAGAGGTCACATTCTCAGTTTGCTCCCTCTACATGTGAGCAAACCCAGGCGCCCAGGCACCGTGGCCAATGCTTTATCCGCTGAGCCATCTCACCAGCCCTGAATTTATTTTTTATATTAAAGTAGTTTTTCTAATTATCAATAACCAAATAGGCTTCATTTTGTGGTAAATCCTTTTGGAAGTTAGAAAACGGGCTGGAAAGGTGACTGGAAACTTAAGAGAACTGGCTGTGCTTCTAAGCCTCCAGGAGGGAGGCTTACATGATGGACAGATAATAGTTGGAAGGTGGAAAGGAGAGGGCTGTGATGGAAGACAAGTTAGAACAAAGTACATTCACACACACACACACACACACACACACACACACACACCCCCCACATTATGAAACCCATGAGTTTGTATACTTTTTAAATTTTTAAAGTGGGACGTGGGATGGCTCTGCCTACTAAGTACCTGCTGTGCAAGCTAGAGGATTTGAGTTGGAGCCCTGGCGACCACGTGACAGCTACGCATTGCTGTGTGCACTTCTGACTCCAGCACGAAGGAGGTGGCAGAGAGAGGAGAATCCTGGGGCTCGCTGGCCCACTAATAACCTTGCCCAATCAGTGGGCTCCATGTCGAGAGACAGACTGTCTCAAAAATAAAATTAAAAAAAGAGGAGAATGATAGAGCAACGCTCAGGGTTGAACTCTGGCTTCCACATGCATCCGTACACATGTGATCATGTTCCGCCATGTGTGTGCACACACATACATACAAGCACATACACATGCACATGCCACACACATAACAGAAAAGAAAGAAACAATAAAGAAAAAACAATAAAATAAAACTACTTGTTAGAAATATAGCACTTTGTGGGGGAGACCTGGAGAGAGAGTGGAAATCGGTGAGGGAGCATCTCTTGAACAGGAGAGGTCCCTGGGGTGACTGTAGCTGAGATACTTAACCACAATAGCTGGAGACATGGAGACTGAAGTCAACACTTTCTGTAGCCAGGTGGGACTTCCAGTGGAGGCAAGGTGACACCAACCCATCCATTAAACCTTTGACCCAAAATTTGTCCTGCCTACGAGAAGTGTAGAGATAAAGATGGAGCAGAGATTGAGGAAATGGCAAACCAGTAACTGGCTCAACCTGAGACTCCATGGGAGAGAGCCAAGCCCTGCCATTGTTAATGATCCTCTGCCGTGCTTGCGGACAGGAGCCTAGCATAACTGTCCTCTGAGAGGCTTCATCCAGCAGATGGACACAGATGTAGAGACTCACAGCCAAACAGTAGGCCGAGCTTGGGGAGCCTTGTGGAGGAGTGGGAGGAAGGATAGAGGGAGCCAGAGGGGTCAAGAACACTACAAGAAAAACTACAGAGTCAACTAACCTGGGCCCATGGGGGCTCACAGGGACTGATCCACCAACCAAAGAGCACGCATGGGCTGGACCTAGGCCTCCTACACATATGTAGCAGATGTGAGGCTTGGTCATCATGTGTGTCCCTAACAATGGGAGTAGGGACTGTCTCTGACTCTGTTGCTGCCTTTGGATCCCTTCCCCCTGTCTTTGCTACCTTGTCTGGCCTCAGTGAAAGAGGGTGCACTTAGTCCTACTGTGACTTGAAGTCCCAGGGCCAGTTGGAACCCTTTAGGGGCTCCCTTTTTTTGAGAAGTGGGCTGGGAGGGGAGGAGGGAGGAAGCTGGGATCAGGCTGTAAAGTGATTAAATAAATAAAAATAAAAGGAAAGAAAACTAGCACTTGGGCTAAGAGGGCTTAATGAGTAGAGAGCTTGCTGCACAAATCTGGAGACCTGAGTTCGATCCCTGGAACCCACGCTAGGAGGAGAGGACTATTCTGGAAAGTTGTCTTGTGAGCTCTGTGCGGCACTGTGGCATGCACATTGCCCCACAGATAGCACAAGGAAATAGCTTTTTAAAGACACAGGGCCACATGGTCATCTTTCCAACCCTCTCCAGTTGATATTTAACACATTACATACAATCTGTGTAAGATGACCAAGAACACTTCAAGAACATTAAGTTCTTTCTCATAAAGACCCCAGTTGTATCCATCACCGCATTATGAGGGTTCTGTTCAGAATCCAGATTCAGGTATCTCCAAATTCTGATTAGCATTGGTCATATAAGGGGTGCAAGCCAAAACCTTTACTCGATGGTGGTCATTTTGGTGAGTGAGAAAGCTGCCAACAGCTGTGGGACTTCTGAAGTAGATGGGTGAGGCTAAAAATAAGGGGGGTTGGGGGGGGGCGTGTTTACTGCAAGAACACTATGAGGAGAGCAATCATTGACTTTAATCCTAAAGTGAGGGTGCTAAAACGTCACTACAATAGATCATGCCTGGGTCTCCATAATAAAGTTTAATGGCTGCAGGACAGCTCTTGAGTTGGGTAGGTGGTTATGTTTTGGTTTTGGTGGGATTATGGGAAGTTTCTCCAAAAAGCTGCCCTGCCGTGCTGTGCTCTGTAGTAATATTATTTTTTTATCTATTCATTTACTGTAGTTTCATTTTATGGATGAACAGAATCCCAAAGGAAGGGAAAAAGCTATTGTTTTCCCAGCACACACGACGATAGCTTTCAGTGTTTTTGAACTCTTCATTTACCTGGATGGTGCCTTTGGTGAGTAGCAGATATACCTAAAGCTCGAGTGATTATGTTTTTAAGGAGAATGTAATGGGAATGAACCTCTCTCCTCTGTCTCCCTCCTCCCCTTTCTCCCTTCCCTCCTTTCTTCTCTGTCAGCTTTCATGATTATAGAGGCACGATGCATCCATTCAGTAGGGTCAGTCTTGTGCTAGGATGAAGGAGCTGGGAAAGGGCCCCACTCCCTACTTTCCCAGCACCTTTTTTTGTGCTTTTTATCGAAGGCTCCATACTGCTCCATTTACAGTTATAGACTGGGAATAAAACAAGGTTCATTGACAAAATGCGCCTCAGCTCTTGTGGGTAGGATAGTAAATGACTTTTAATAGGTAGCTTGTAGAAGTGGAAAATAAGAAATCCGAAGGCAGTAAGATGCCTGAAGGTTCTAGTGCCCAAACAGATGGTATTAATTTTTATCTGTTTAGACATAACTTCCTAGCTGCACACTTCCTTAAAATAATCATAAAAACACTTTAGAACTATAAGTACTTCCTCTACAATTGTCATCTTGTATGGTAGCTCAATGCAGCTCACTTTGGCTTTCTACATTTCACAGGACTTTAAAGTTAGTTAACTGCCAGCTAGACCAGTTGGACCAGGCCAGGGAGTCTCATAGCTATGGTAATTTACAGTAATTTTGTAGACCTTCTTTGCTTAGTTTCTGTTTGTAGTCCTGCGGAAGGGGGAAACAAAACTACATTCTAAGTAAACTCAACTTTGAACTCTTGGGTTTGGCAGTTACATTGGCTGGAGGGAAGAGTATAAAGTGTCATTTATCAAAATGTAGTCTTGTCTACGGGCGCGTATTTTGGCCTCTCATTTCCAGGAACTAATGTTCTAGGTATACTGAGACACAGGTACAGTGATTGTGGAACAGGCTCGTCAGTTCCTAACAGCAAATATTGGAAACATCCTGAGTGAACCCAGGAGCCCAACCGAGGACAAAACCATGACGAGTGTGTAGCTCTGGGATGTAATGATCTCTGGGAGATATTTCAAAGAACTGTGTATGATACATAGTTGTTTCTGGAAACATACAAAAGTCTGCACATACCAGAGCTTCTAAGCTTGCACAAGGCTGGTACCAGAGATGCTGGGTACCGGCTGGGCTAGAGGCATGTCACCATATGATTGAAGTCACTGAATTCCGTACTTATGTCATCTTTTCCTCAAATCTATAGTTTATTAGCTTTATTAAAAAAAACCCTCAATTAATTGCATGTATGAGAATTCATAATCCCTATGAAATACCCAATATTACTTAAGCTATAATAACATCTTCTCAAATTTGTTTGTAGACCTTTGTGTCACGTCAGTGTCAAAAGGAGGATTCGAGAGGGAGGAAACCACCACCTTTGCCATGTTCTACAGGCTGCGAAATATACTCTTTGAAAGAAGTATGTCCGCCGAAGGGTGTCTTTGAGTGCCTTCTCCTTCCTCTATCGTATGTGCGGCTACCTACTCAGCAGCCATCTGTTAACACAGCCCAGAGGCTTCCTGGCGGAGGGTGTGGGTTGACACCTTTCTTGCTTGTTTTTTTGTTTTTTGAGACAGGATTTCTCTGTGTAGCCTTCGCTGTCCTGGAACTTGCACTGTAGACCAGGCTGGCCTCAAACTCACGGATCCACCTGCCTCTGCCACCCCGAGTGCTGGGATTACGGGCCTGTGCCGCTGCGGCCCGGCAAGGATTGACACCTTTACACACAGCGTGGATGCCCAGTCATTTGGACTTGTGACGCGTTTCTGGTTTCTGTGTTGCAGACAGGAGAGTGATGGATGCCATCTCTCGCTCCCAGCTTTACCTAGATGATCTTTTCTCTGACTACTACGACAAGCCTCTCAGCATGACTGACATCTCCCTGAAGGAGGGCACTCATATTCGAGTGAACTTGCTGAACCACAACATCCCCAAGGGGCCCTGCATACTCTGTGGGATGGGGAACCTGAAAAGGGAGACGGTGTACGGGTGCTTCCAGTGCTCCGTGGACGGAATGAAGTACGTGAGGCTTCATGCTGTCCCCTGTTTTGATATTTGGCACAAGAGAATGAAATAAACGGAAGAAGGGACATGTTTGGTTGATGTTTTATGTATTACTGTGCCACAAAGCTTCCTTACATTGTTTAGGTTTGCTTGGATGAATTAAAAAGAAAAAAAAAAAGCCAGACAGCCTTTTAAGTAGCGTTTTCATTGCATTTTCCACCTCTGAGGTAGACACGATGATAAATCTGTCTTTCTCGTAGACTTTATGAGGATTAATAGCATTGCTTATACAAAACAAAGCTTAATTACAAAATTCAAGGAGAAGCGCTCTTTGACAGGTTTGTCCATTTCTTCACAATCGCTTGGGAACCAGTGTACCCTTTTAAGTAGCTTTTTATGTGATCTATATTTTTCTAAATGCAAATTTTATATTTAATCACTTTTTAATTCAACAGTTGAAGATAACAAACAGGCACAAATGGTTGCTTTTGGGCCCTTTTGCGCCCTAGGTTTGGTAAGGAGAGGGAAAAAAAGTGTTAATAATTTAATATATTCCTAAATGTTTAATTGTGGTATCAGATTAAACATGTGGTATCAAAACCATGAAGCTCAGCATGGGGCCCTGTGCACAGCTAACAGTGTAACTGACAGTGGTAATGGGCTGTCACTCTGCCTACTGAGTTTGCTTTGTAAAATGGGTGCTATTACTTTAAAGTTAAGGGAAACAGGGCGGTTATGTTTTTGGAAATGGTTAATGGATTTAATGTACTTTGTTCTCAAATTTCTTTTTGGGGGGAAGGTAGGGCCTTGCTACGTTACCAAAGCTACTCCCAAAATCCTGGGTTCAAGTGATTCAGCCTACCTCAAGCTCAGGAATAGGCGGCTTACAGGTACAGGACACCATGGTTTTTCATGTATGTTTTTCATCTACTCGCTAAGCATTGTTTTCATATACTAACAACTAAACAATTGACTCTTTTATTAAAACAATAGTAAATATATTTTATGAATAATGCTATTCACTATTAGATTCACTCAAAGGTGTAAAGCAATCCTATGGGTACAGAACACTGCATGGGTAATTGGTAATGATTCGTATTTATTATTTAAAAGATAAAGTTTTTAGGTTCACGTGTTCATTTACAATAATGTGTACTTTTCCTTTCTTTTCTTTTAAATAAGTCTCATATCGTCCAGGGTGATGGCGAACGCCTCATTTTCTGCCTCCACCTCTGAGTGCTGCGGCTGGAGGTGTCTGCTACCACGCCCAGGTTGCACAGTGCTCGGACTGAATCTGGGTCTCCAAGCGTGCTAGGCATACTGTCACCACAACTCCAGCTAATGCATACTTAACGGCTTCACGTCACTCCACCAAAATTATGTTTATTGAAGGAAACAAATATCTTCTCATAAAGAAAAACATAACTACAACTTGCAGAAAAGTGATTCTTTCCTAAAAGCAAAGCACAGTCAGTTACTAACAAATAAAGAAGTAAAACAAATTCACAGCTCGTCATGTTGGTGCACATTGTATTCCTTGGGAGAAATGAAGCCATCTCCATTGTGGTCATTTTTCTTAAATATATCTTCCAAAACTGCATTCTGATATGACTTGTCTCGGGGCTTTGGATCTTTTTCAAAGTCCTTCTGTAAGTAAACCTCTATCTAGAGGCCGGAATAAGATGTCGTTAATTAAAAAACACCACAAACATCTGGATTACAGTAATGAAAAAGCATGTTAAATGACAAACATTTAAGACAATTTGTCCAATTGTTTATGGGGGACACTCAAAGACCATGGAGCGCATATGGAGGTCAGAGGACAACCTGTAGGAACTGGTTCTCTCTTCCCCCTATGTGGGGTCCCGGAACGGAACTCGGGTCATCAGGCTTGGAGCAAGAGCTATCCTCACTGAGAAATCTAGCCAGCCCATGAACATTTTAAAAAGGTATTTCAAGGTTTGGAAATACCTTTGAAACAGGGTCTCTCTACACAGCCCTGGCTGTCCTGGGCTCATTATTTGGACCAGGCTGGCCTCAAACTCACAGAGATCTGCTGCCTCTGCCTCCCCAGTGCTGGTATTAAAGGTGTATGCCACCATGCCTGGCCCAGTATTTTTGTTGTTGTTTTTAATTTTCGAAGAGAAATGGGTGTTCAAATTAACTGTCCCTGGGGTTACAGATGGCGGTACCAGGCCCACTAAATACTTTCTAATAATCCACACTGTTCATATTAGGAAAGGAAAACACATGCTTGTGGATTCCCGTTATTTAATAAAACCTCATTAGCTTTTCTGTGGCTGGAACTAATGAATTTATTGTGTAATCAAGTCAACCAACGGCGTGAGATGCCCTGAAGCGGGGCCTTTTTTGGGCTGGTAGCATATAAAATTTCTCTAAGCAAACACACAATAAAGCACCATCCTATTGGCTACATGCAATTTCCGGGCATTTGAAATGTGGCCACAGCAAACTGAGACACATTCCTGTAATATAGCTCCCGGATACTTTTAATACAGGGTGTACATGGAAACGGTACTGTTTCAACCTAGTTAAGTCACAAAAACTTCATGCCTATTTTTTCCTCGCCTTGCCTTGAGATGCTGTCATCTCTCACTGTGTTGCCCAGCCTGGCCTCAGCTCCTGGGCACGATCGATTCCTCTGCTTCAACTTCCTCAGAACCTGGGATTCTGGGTACCCATCACCACGGCCAACTTTCTTTTTACTTTTAAAAAGGTGCACACCATACAATTTAGAATTATCTTGCAACTCAACTGTTTCTCCACAGGAAAATGCTGATGTATGCCAAAGACATCACGGCACACTGACCTGGGGATAAGGTTCTGCAAGTTGGGGCATTTTAAAGGCAAGAGGCAGGCTGACAGGCGGAGCTGAACACCGAACAGCTTTTACTAATACATGTGCCACGCTCCATCCTTCCCAGATGAGTGTGGGATAGTCAGTGGACCTTGGAGCAGGTGGTCTCAGGTGTGACCCTGACCCTCTCGCCTGAGACTTAGACTTATGTGAGGTAAAAAGCATTTTAAACAGTCTCAAACATTCCACACTTTCTAAACCAAAACTATCCTGTTATAACTGATAAAGCTGCTGTTCAATGGCTATTCTTTTTTTCCATACAGTGTAGTAGAGGTACAAAAAGGTGGTGGGCAAGAATATAAATTTGTTTTTTAAAATTGTTTAATTATTTAATGAAGGTGTGCTTGCAGTACCCACAGAGACCAGAAGAGGGCACCAGATCTCTTGTAAGTGGAGTTGTAGAGGGCTGTTTCTGGGGTAGATGTTGGAGGTGAATCTGCTCTGAGTACTCAATTGCTGAGCCATCTGTTCAGCCCCAAGACTTTAATTTTTGCTAGCAGTGGGTTCCACACTACTTTCATTTTGTAATTCAATACTGTGCCCCGCCCCACCTTATTTAAAGTAAAGAAACAATCTGTTAGTTTTTTCTGTTAGTTTAGTTTCAAAGCTGGGCTTCCCCGTGTACTGATTACGCAGTCAGCTGCAGAAGGAGAGAAGTATCCATACTGTAGGACTGCTACTGGCAGGGCCAACGCCAACAGAAGACAACTGTTACAACTGGGCAAAAATCATTCCTACCCATCTGGTAAGGTACCCAATAAGACGCCTGGAAAACTGTAGCTACGTAAGTAGATCCAATTTTGGATTTCCTCTATGTTCATTTTCTGCAAGAGAAGGGGAGACGCTCAAATGTCCAGAGAGGCATGTACACTGTAGAGGAACGTCTGGGTGTGTCTGAAGCGGCTAAGGCATGGAGCACGCCCAGGCTGCTCCCAGCGTGCTGTGTGATCAAATGCCTCTGCTGCTGCTATCCACTCCAAAGGGGATGAGGAAAGTCAGCGGAGAGGTGACAGTGAAAACTGTTACTTCCCCTTCAGGACCCCTATAAAGCTGTTCTGGTAAAAGGAGCATCATGTGGGAAGGGGGAAATCCCAGGTGAGGGATGGCCTCTATCACTGGCCTGTAGCAAGCCTGTGGGGGTATTTTCTTGATTAGTGACTGATGTGGGAGGGCTCTGACTACGGTCGGTGTCAACCCTCGGGCAGATTGTCCTGGGGTGTGTAAGACAGCAGGCTGAGCAAGGAAGGCCTGGGGAACAAGCGTAGTCTCTGCTCCTGCCCTGAGTTCCTGCCCTGCCTTCCCTGGGGACTGGGACCCAGGATGTGTAAGCCAAATAAGGCCCTTATCCCCCAGGTGCTTTGGGTTCTGGTCTTTACTGAAGAAGTAGAAAGCAGAAACCTGGCAGATAGGCCTCTCTCCCTGCTGGCTGACTGGGGCACCTCAGGGAGGTATTTCCTACTGCCTAAGTTCCGGGAGGAAAAGCTAGAGTTGAGTGGAAGCGTGTTGCAGGGGGAGATGGAGTGAGTAGGTGACTGGAGATACAGCCCAGGGGCCCAGTGCTTGTCTAGCATGAAGCTCTAGTTCCAATCCCCAGTCAAAATAATAACAAAAAAGGAAAAGAAGCAAAGACCTTGTTAGCTAGGGGCTGGTGGCTTATTCCTGTAATCCCAGCACTTGAGAGGGGCAAAAAGATCTCCACACACATTCAAGACCAGCCCGCACAACATCATGAATGCCAGCACAGCTTTGGGGGTAGAGCGAGACCTTATCTCACCCCGCAGCAGTCCCTGAAATACAAAAAGGACTGAGGCTATATTTGAGATCGAGGGCCCACCTGCCTCTTATCAGGCGGTAGTTACACATTTTTAACCTCGTCTAAACAAAGGGAGCAGCTGAGCTGATTGTAGACAGTGGGTCGAGAGGAGGCTTGCCAGCAACGGTCAAGGTGGCAATCCTCTGAAAGGCAGGGAGTGCCCGGGGCTCAGAGCACAGAGCCGGGCCACCCGGGGTGTGATCCCAGCTCCATATTGCAGCTACATTACTCCACGGTCCCGACTATGGCTCTCCCCATCCAGCAGGTGAGGATGATGACGGGAGATAAAGGGTCCCGCAGATTAGATGAATTCACGCGCTTGCTTAGAGTTGTATCCGGGACTAGGAAAGTGTGGGGAATGCGTAGCACTGAAAACTTTAACAATTCATCTGTAGAGGATGGGGATGAACTCTTAGCTCAGGTTTACCAACCTCAGCCCATCCAGTTCAAGTCCTTGCCAGCTCTTTTCATGGTCTCATTCATGTATGTCACAGTCCAGAGGCTGGAACTACTTGCCCTGTGACAAGAGCAAGAACTACTTGCTCTTACAGTACTGTTGGAAGGCGCTCTGTCCCTTTAGTGTAGGTGCCAGAAGAGCCATGGGTAGCTTGGAATTTTTCTTATTTGATTGGTTGGTTGACTGATTGACTGACTGATTGATCTGCCACTACTGGTCATTGAACCCAGGGACTCGTGGATACTCGGGCAAGCACTCTGCCACTGAGCCATATCCTGAGACCCTTTTGTACTTTTTGAGACAGGGTGTTAGTAAGTTGCCCAGGATAGCCCTGAACTGTTTGTATCCCAGGCTGTCCTTCAAGGTGTTCTCTTATGTCAGGTTTGGGAGTAGCTGAAGCTACAGGCCTGAAAAGAAAAAGGATTTTTCCCCCCTCAGAGTTTATAGAGTTTCCAGCCAACAGCCCCAACAAAGCAATCAAAGCCAATACAATCAAAACCTCAGAAGTATCTTCAGCCGAATTTGAGCTATAGTGAAGAAAACAAAAAACAAGCCACAGAGGAAGCTTCAGTTACCTCGGCCTTGGAGAGCTGCCGGTCGTTGTCCGTGTCTATTTGCTTAAATGTTTCAATGCTCCGTGGCCCTTTGGTGACAGCATAAAGTTCAATTTCAAACATCAGAGTTGCGTTGGGTGGAATCTTGCGCTCTGCTAAGGGTTTAAATTTTAACAGTTTGACTTACACGAAAGGAGGCTTTTACTCATGGGCACATTGGGATCAGGGTTATAGTGCTTAGAAGAGCTGCTTTCAAAACAGTAAATCTTTTAGCATCACAAAATCAGGGCCAGGGCTGGAGAGATGGCTCTGCGGTTAAGAGCGCTGCTCAGCTCTTCCCAGAGGTCCTGAGTTCAGTTCCCAGCAACCACATGGTGGCTCATAACCATCTATAATGTGATCTGATGCCCTCTTCTGGCCTGCAGGTGTACATGCAGATAGAGCACTCACAGTAAAAAAAAAAAAAAAAATCAGGGCCAATCATTTTATTCACTTTCTTCCTTTTATAAAAACACTTTGGAACCTTTTTTTTCTCCCTGTGTATTTTAAGCCAAGTCAGTTCAAAGGTCCTCTCAACCAGTTTCCTATTAAGTCAAAATAAAGAAAAATGTTATTAGTCTTTCCTGATCATCATGTAGCAGAGATAGGATATAGAGTAGAACAATTCCAGAGTTGGGCTGCTGAGGCTTGTCACCTGCTGCCAAGCCTGATGACCGAGTTCAGTCTGGGACCCACAGCGGAAGAAGAGAACTGATCCCCACAAACTGTCCCCTGACCTCCACACACCTGAAGGCACATGCTTCATCCACATAAATAAATAAATGTGATTAAGAAGGAAAGGAGATTCGAAAGTATAATCTCTGAGAAAAATGATTTTATAAAGTCACCCAGAAGCATCATTTAAAAAATCTTAGTCTGCTTTTAAAATTCTTTATAGATTTGAAAAGATAAAAGCAGCAACAAAAACCCAGGAAGCAATTTTACAAAGAAATTTCTAATTATCAAAAAATATTTAAATATGAAATTGGGTAGTTAGAATAAGGTTCATCTGTTAGCTGATGTCGCTGGTGGATTTAGCAAGATGGGGCTTTTTCAGATGAGCATTCCATAGGGTGGCCAAGAGGCAGTGAGTGGCTGAGTGTGTTTCCAGGGCCTTACGGGCCATGTGATCTAGGACATGACACACAAGTATCTGCCAAACAAATGACACCCTCTGAAAGTAGCTAATTTTGTCCATTAAAAGAAACAGTGATTTCTCTTTTTGTTTTTTGAGACAGGGTTTCTCTATGTAGCCTTGGCTGTCCTAGACTCAGTTTGTAAACCAGGCTGGCTTCAAATGCATAGGGATCTGCCTGCCTCTGCCTCCCTGGTGCTGGGATTAAAAGTGTGTGCGAAACAGTAATTGCTTTAACAGTCAAGCAGTCAATTCTTGCTGAAATACTTATATGGCCCATAGAGGAAAGGGTAGAAGCTACAGCAGAGCAGCACACTGTAACTTCCAAGGCGAGACCACAGAAAAATCTACCCACATCAGGTGCCTGCTGTCAAAGTTCTAATCGAAGGTCCTACAATTGACCTGGCTTTGAAGGAGGGAAAAATAATTTCTGCCATAATTAAGACAGACTCAAAACACAGATTCCTTTTGTTGTTTGGGGGCTGGTGGTGGAAGCAGGGTCTGGCAGGCAAGTGAGTTCCTGTACCACTGAGCTATCCAAAGCCCAAAGTCAAACTTCCCAAGAAGTTACACAGATGCAGTGGAAGTTCCCGTAAAATTCTATTTAAAAAAAAAAAAAAAAATTGTTGCTCATTATTTTTTTCCTCAAAAAAATACTAAACTATAAAAGAGATAGATGTGCAATAGAGTTATTTACATTTAGAGAGGCAGGACGGAGAGGCAGGAGTTAATGTAAAGAATATATACATACCACACAGACTGTTAATTAAAGCACTAGAAAGTCACATGCACTTTAAGACAGGCAGGATGCTCGGGGCATTTCGCCAGAGGAAAACTTCTTCAAGCATCGCCTAAAATGAAGTTACAGCGAGTGTTAAGTCTTACCACTTTAAGCTCACTGAGGACAAGACCTCTAAAGATCCAGCCAGTCAACCTGCCAGCATTCCCGCCCTTACCCGTAACGGAGGACCTATTGACAGCTGATGAATTCTGAGAGGGAGGTCAGTTTCCAGGCTTCGGATCCTGGTAGGTCTACCAGATTTGACTTGGTAGGGGTGTGTGTGAACGACACAAAGTTAGGAGGGGTAAGGAGGTAGATAATGAATCTGAAAGGAATTAGGGGGAGGAGTGGAGGATGAATATGATCAAAATACATTGTGTGCATATATGAAAATATATTTTTAAAAACTGACATAATCAAGAGGATTTTACTATATAGCTTGGTAGCTACTGTAAAACAGAGAAAGCCAACAGGTAAGGAACCACAGCCCATCATACGTACTTTTTAGGCCTCAGATTTCTCTTTTCTTTTAATTTCATTTATTTGTTTGTTTATTTATTTATATTAATTACAGTTTACTCACTTTGTATCCCAGTTGTAGCCCCCCTCCCTCATCTCCTCCCCATCCCTTTCTCCCTCCCTCTTCTCCTCCCATGTCCCTCCTTAAGTACATTGATAGGGGAGGTCCTCTTCCCCTTCCATCTGACCCTAGCCTATTAGATCTCATCAGGACTGGCTGCATTGTCTTTCTCTGTGGCCTGGTAAGACATGTCAAAGACAGCCCCTGCTCCCTTTACTAGGAAACCCACTTGTATACTAAGCTGCCATGGGATACATCTGTGCAGGGGTTCTAGGTTATTGCCATTCATGGTCCTTGTTTGGGAAAGACTCAGAAAGACCCCTGTGCCCAGATTTTTTGGTTTTGTTGCTCTCCTTGTGGAGTTCCTGACCCCTCCAGGTCTTTCTAGCTCCCCCTTCTTTCATAAGATTCCCTGGACTCTGCCCAAAGTTTGGCTATGAGTCTCAGCATCTGCTTTGATACCCTGCTGGGTAGAGTCTTTCAGAGGCCCTCTGTGGTAGGCTCCTGTCCTGTTCCTTGTTTTCTCCCTCTTTTGATGTTTCTCCCATTTGCCTTTCTGAGTAAGAATTTATCATCTTACCCAGGGTCCTCCTTCTTGCTTAGCTTCGTTAGTTGTACAGATTTTAGTATATTTATCCTATATTAATATGTCTAATATACACTTATAAGTGAGTATATGCCATGTGTGTCTTTCTGCTTCTGGGATACCTCACTCAGGATGATCTTTTCTAGTTCCCACCATTTGCTTGCAAATTTCATGATTTCCTTGTTTTTAATTGCTGAGATTCCATTGTATAAAGGTACCACAATTTCTGCATCCACTCCTCAGGTGAGAGACATCTGGGTTGTTTTCTAGATTCTGGCTATTACAAATAAAGCTGCTATAAACATGGTTGAGCAAATGTCCTTGTTGTATACTTGAGCATATTTTGGATATAGGCCTAGGAATGGTATAGTTGGATCTTGAGAAAGCGCTATTCCTAACTGTCTGAGAAAGTGCCTGGATTGATTTCCACAGGAAGTAAAATAAAGGTGCTAGTAAGACTAATTGTTTTGATGTTTATGGGAGACTCCTCAAAGTCAATAAGAACTATCTGTCTCCCTGCAGGAAGGGTGTAGTATGCTGACAGTGTAGGCAGCTAGGCATAAGTTAACTAACTGTGCATAAGTTAGTTTAGGTAAAGGATAAAGTAGTCATTTGCTATGGAATATAGGACCCAGGACTGGTACCCACTGGAGATGGATGCAGGTGCTCTAAGGTAAGCAGAATGCTGATGTGATGATTCCAAAACTCAGGAAAGAGAGTGAAAGGCAAACTTTCCCTGCATTATTTTCCCTAGAAGTAACCTCAACTCCTGACATTTTGGAAGATAGTATTGTATTTAAATTATCTTCAATTTTCTTTCTTTCTCAGGGTCCTCTACAAACACACACAAACAGGGTATACAAATTACATTGCCACGGGAAACTGTCTTTTTTCTTTTTCTTTTGTAGAGCAGTGAGTGCTGGGCAACCCTGTACTGCTGAGTGTCACATACCAGTCCTGGGAGCTATTTCGATGGGAGCAAATGATTGGCAGATTGAACACACGGCTGCAGCTATCTGGAACCATCACCTTTACAGTGTCAGGTCTAGGCTTGAAGCACCGGCTTTCCTCCATCTGACTTCGGGCAGTTGGCCTCGTCTTACTGAAAAGCATAGACCAGGGGAATTATCTCTTCAGGACTCGGCCAGCGGCTTCAAGGAAGGCACATCTCGGCAAAATATGGGGTAATGCCAAAATCGCATCTTAGCGACACGACTGCTAATTACGTATTTGATGTTTCAAATAAGTGGAGTCGGCAAGAACTTTAAATGAGGCGACCTGGTTCATGCTGCAACGAGGAGGACCTCCCTGAGGAAGGGACTGCCCACCCCTGCTGGGTGTCCACGTGCTCCCAGGGAATTTCCTTGTTTCCTCAGATTTACTTTTTTGAAGATTAGTATAGATGCATGTGAGTTGTGTGTGTGTGTGTTTTTAAGTGAAACAATTCAAGAATTAATGGTGAGAAAAAAAAATTCATCCTATTCTTGACCCTCAAGCTTCCTTCCTAAGGCTGTCACCAGATGACTGCATATCCTCCTACACTAGTCTGTGTATCTGTGGACATGAAGTTCCCCTCTAGGATGCAAACAGTTTGCACACAAACTGATAATCCCCCGTGTTATCATCTGCTGAAGAGGGTGCTCAGTAAATACTCAGTCTATTAATAAATGAGATTTCATTTCATTCTTTTCCCTGCTTATACACTAATCCACTATATGAATATCTTGTAACTTAATTTCCTACTGACAGTCATTAACACAGTTCTAAGTATTTTGCTACCAAAAAGAAGTTGGCAATTGTGGTATTTAATCCTGGTTGTCAACTTGACTGGTTTGGAATGAACATTGTATTTTTTGCTCAAGATCCAACTATTCCATTCCTAGGCCTATATCCAAAACATTGTATCATTTGCTCCCATCGAAATAGCTCCCAGGACTGGTATGTGACACTCAGCAGTACAGGGTTGCCCAGCACTCACTGCTCTACAAAAGAAAAAGAAAAAAGACAGTTTCCCGTGGCAATGTAATTTGTATACCCTGTTTGTGTGTGTTTATGTAGGACCCTGAGAAAGAAAGAAAATTGAAGATAATTTAAAAAATAATCCAAAATGTCAGGAGTTGAGGTTACTTCTAGGGAAAATAATGCAGGGAAAGTTTGCCTTTCACTCTCTTTCCTGAGTTTTGGAATCATCACGTCAGCATTCTGCTTAGCTTTATGAACATTGTACCTTTGTTTTTTTTGTTTGTTTGTTTGTTTTGTTTTGTTTTGTTTTTTTAATAAACTTAATTGAAGTGAGAAGACCTAGCCTGCATGTCGACAGTGCCTTTTGGCAGCAGCCTAGAAAAAAACAAATTCTGAAAGAGAAAAGTTTGCTTTTTGCCTGCTTGCCTTCACGTTGTGCTGGCGCATTCATTTACGTTCATTTAGTGACATCCTGAGGCTGCTGCTCCCGTCCCCATTCTCTGCTGACAGAGTCTAACTTCCTTGGCCTTTCAGTGTGGGCTGAAGACCAGTGGCTCTACAAGAATCCTCCACATCTTCAGGGCTAGCCTGGGGCAGCTGAGGCATCCAGCTCTGCAGACCAAGCAGCTTCTGGGTAGCCATTGTTGAGCTACCCAGACCACAGCGTGTGAGCCAATCAAGTAAATCTCTCACATACTCATTCTATTAGTTCTGTTTATCTAGAGAACCCTGACTAACACAGCTACAAATATAAGGGTATAATCACTTCTGTCAGTCAAATAACTTCTTTTCCCATCGATCATATAAGAAATGGCTTATATTACCATGCCTTTGACAGTGTTCTTGTTCGGATAAACAAGGCATGATATCTTGTTTGTGTTCTAATTTTTGCTCTGATTATGAATACAATTAACTGTTGCCTTGGAATTAAAGACAATTTGCATTTTATTAGTTTATGAAGTTATTCTATTTCTAGGGCTAGATCATTTAATTACCATTTAATGTAATTAGTTAGTTATATTTCCCTTGCTTTCTGTGAGTTCACATATCTTCTTGCTGTAGGATTTAAAAGTAGGCACGACTCTGAAAGTTATCTCTTCCACATCTGAAGGATTCTCCTGAGCTGGGGTAACAATGGCTCACAGCTCAGAGGTAACATCCTTTTGTTCTAAAATTGTGTTCCAGTCCCCCAAGCTTTATAAACTTGGTACTGTTTACCAAAGATCTACGCTGGAAACACATATGTAATACTCTTCACAGTAAAGCCAAAAATGTCCAGGGAAGTTTGAGGGACGGATGCACACAGCCATTCTGAGCACTGTGTCTATGCAGAGGAAGAAGTACTGGCTGGAGGTTGGTATTCCAAAGAGGACTTATTTTCTTTAGCGATAAAAAGAAGGCACGGGATGAATGAAATATGGCCAGAGTTTGATGGGCATGGCTCTGTGAAGATTTCTTCTACGCCATTTCAGAATTGTGGGAAAATACACATCACACAAAGCTCATCACCATTTTAAATAGTGTAAAGTACTGTTGTGTTACTGTGCAACCTATACCTAGAACTCTTATCTTGAGCACCAAAACGCTATGCTATTCGACGCCTCCTTTTGTCCTGTCCCTTCAGCCCCTTGTAACCACTCTCTCTGCCTTTGGTGTCGCCCGGCCAGAGGACTACGGATGCTTCATGTAAATGCAACCCTACAGTACTGGTAGTTTTTGCCTCTGGCTTGTTACACTCAGCATAATGAATGTTTTTAAGGTTCATCAACGCTGTAGCATGAGTCAGACTTTCATTCCTTTTATTGCTCTGTGCTCATATACTCATTCTTTTATCCATTCTCCCATCTCCCGTGGACAGCGCTGCAGCGAACATGGATGTACAAATATCTTTTTGAGGCTTACTTTCCTTTTTCAGGATATACAGATTTATTTTGACTTTTTATAAATAAGTGGCTGATTTATTTTATAAAAAACTACTAAAAGATATTAAACATCTTACCATAGCCTTCTTTTCCATATGCAAATGAAGGAGGTATAATCACCTTTCTCTTCTCTCCAGGGCACATGTCCATCATAGCAATGTCCAGACCTTTTATGACTTGTCCAACTCCAAGAACGAACCATTTGGGATGGCCTTCACCTTGTGTCCGGCTATAAGAAACCATACTTAGTACTGAGTAACTTGACATCATTTAAAAGGAAACTTTTAAGCACAGCTAGGCATTTTGTTATTATTTAAATATTTTCCCATGTTAGCATTCTTCCAGAACTCTGTCGTCTGGGAAGTGTTTGGCTCAAACTTCCCCATACATTGGCAGACAGTATCAGGAGAGGTCACTCCATTTTATTCTGTTCTATTGCCATCCTTAGGAAAACTGCCCAAGAGTTAGGGTTTTAAAATGGGTCTCCCGTCTCTGTTTGGCTGCATGGCTGGGACAAAACAACTCTCAGCAGGCTGGGCCTCAAATTTCATTTCTAAGAACAACTGAAATACCATCTCGCCAAACTCCTCTTCTAAATGGGAAGAGTAGGTTTTGTAAATTGGAAAGAATTGCTTCCTCCAGGCCTATCTTTGGAGGGTAACAGCACAGCTAGAGAAAGGGCATTCAGTCAGACCAGAGCAGGGACGGGAGAACAGGATGGACGCACCTACCAGGGTCTCTGTTAGAAAGTGAACCACTGAAGACCAGAATAAGACTCGGGAGCTTCCTTATACAGTATCTTTGGACAGAGACTTCAGTTCCGGGTAAGGAGAAAGACTGAATGAACATCCTGTCAAGCAGCCTCTAGATTTTGCTGTGCTGGTGCCGTGGTGGTCAGCGATCTGCAAGAGCCGGTAGGTCTTGCAGTCAATTTACTGAGCTAAAACATTTTCAGCAACTAAACAGGTCTTTAAAGGAACCGTTTTCTAATTTAAGTCGGCATAACGGCTTAATTTATTCTTAAGTCAATCAACCAAACAAAAAGTAAACAAAACAATTAACTTCTGGCTGCTGGTGGTGGAAGAGGCAAGATCCGGTGTACCAACTGAACTTGAACTGCCCGGAGCATCTCCTACCTGCAGTAGAATTTGGAGCCATCTTTAGCCAAGTAACCGTCATAATGAGCGTTGAGCAAGTCTCCTTTCCTGCTTGTTTTGGAGCAGTTTTCTGGACGATGCAAAACTTCAATTTTCACTTCCTCTGTGATCTCTTCTTTCGTTTGTCCCTGAGCGTTGGGACAGCCCCACAGGCTAAGGAAAACTGCCAGTCTGAATAGGAAATGCATGGTTCCCAAAGCAGGACTCCCCCAGCCCCAGTGTAAGTAAGCCCTATGGCGTGTGCGCTGGCTCTAGGAGCTGGAAGGAATTCGGACGCGTGGCAGGCATTGTCCTACGTCACAAAGGTCGGGGGCGGGGCTAGCGAGGCTCCTCCGCTCGCCCGCAGCCCGCAGCTAGCTGCTCACTGGAGCCTGTCCTGGGCACCAGGGCTAGAGCAGAACCGCCCCACTAAACCCGCCTTTACCGCAGGTTTCTTCTGCCTCCAGCAGTCAGGCCCGCTTTTCCTGAAGTGAAACTGGAGTTATGGTGGTCCCTTGTAGGCATTTAGGAGATGCTGCAAAATTCTGTTTTGCAAAATTCCGCTTGCCTCGGCCAACTGATGCCTTGGCCTAACGGCTTGGTTTTAAGTTTTTAAATGATACCTTTGAACCATTTGGTATAGGAAAAAGGATTACACAGCTGTAGGTCCTTAAAATCGAGTATTTTAAAAAAATATTTAAAAAACTGGGCCAAGAAATTGCTACAAAAGGAAAACAGTTCATGGTGTCGTGGCCCCCCAGGGACTTGGCAGGCACAGTGATGGCAGTTTCCTGGAAGGGAGTGACAAACAGGTTCCCAGCTCTTCTCTGGATACTCTGGGGGAAGAGCTTGAAGGGCTTTTTGGGATGAGACGAATCTGTTGATACATCCCCTGCTCATTTTAGTATGAAAAGCTTTCAAACAGCACAAAACTTGATTTTTACAATAAACACCAGATACCTGCTACTCTTAGACGATCAATAATGGACTATATGCGATGATTTGTTGAATATCCCACCAATCTACCCACCAATTCATCAAGTGAATATCCAGATTACCCTATTCAGTCAGCCCTCCTGGAAGGGCAAGCCAGGCATTTCACTACCTCAATGCTTTATGGGGTTGTCTGGAATTTGCGGAGCTCTCAAAATCTGAAAATTGTCAAGTTGTGTAAAAGCTTTCTTCCAAGTGAGATTAAAAAACAAAACTTGGCCTCATTTTAACCCTTTCTTTCTTTCATTTATTTATTTATCGGTGACAGGGTTTCACTATGTGGCCCTGGCTGGCCTGGAATTCACTAAGTAGACCAAGCTGGCTTTGAACTCACAGAGATCTGCCTGCCCCTGCTTCCTGAATGCTGAGATTAAAGGCGTACATCACAATGTACCGCATAAAAAACAGTGAAAGAAAATGTGTTTGTGTGTGTGTGTGTGTGTTAGAGAGAGCGAGCGCGCCCACGTGTAGAGGTCAAAGGACAGTTTACAGAATAGCGTTCTCTCCTTCCACTATGTGTGTCCCCAGGACAGTACTCCTGGCCAACAAGCTTCTGGAGACTAGCTGGGGAGTCACCTCGCCAACCCTAAGACCTTAGCAGCCTGCATGTTCCTGCTGTGTCCCCCCTTTCCTTTCCTTCTTTTAAGAAAGGGTCTCTCGCAGTAGCCCAGGCTGGCCTTCCTGCCTCAGCCCCTGAGTGCAGGGATTCCGGGGCCGGGCCACCGCAGCCAGCTTTTCCTAGGAGGTAGCTCCTACTCTCCCGGAGCGCCACGAAAAGCGCGGCCCTTAGTTTAGGGGGCCCGGGGCAGGGCGCGCGGGGCGTTGGGGGGCGGAGAGACCCGGGGAGCCGGGACCGGGGGAGGCACCCCGGGCGCGGGGGCGCGCGGCGCAGCCCCGGGCGCGCGGCCGTCCGCAGCCCCGCCGCGGGGGAGGGGTTTGGCGGGCCGAGCCGGCCCCTTTCATCCAGGAAGTGAAAGCGACGTCGGGGTCAATGAAAACAAACCGGGAGCCCGGGGGGAAGGAAGGCGGGCGCGCAGCAGGGCCGCGCCGGGGCTCGCGGAGCGGCGGCGGAGCGGGGGGCCGGCGGGGCTGGGGTCGCCCCGGGGGTCGGCGCGCCCTTCCCGCCGGGAATGTCCGCGCCTCGCGGCCTCCGAGCAGCACGCGGCGCCCGCCGGCCGGGCCTCTGACAGGGCCGCCGGGTCGGGGCGGAGGGCTGCGGGCCCCGCGCCTCCGCAGCAGCGCGGCCGGCGCCGGGCCAGGAGGATGCGCGGCGCCGGGCTCTGAAGCATGGAGGGGGTTCTGTACAAGTGGACCAACTATCTCACAGGTACGGGCTCTCGGCCGGCCCTGTTGAAGCCGCGGGACTCAGTCCAGGCCCGATTCCCCCTCCCCACCCCCCAGCACACACACGCACACACTCTCTGCCCCTCATTCCCCGGCCCCTTCGAACCGGAGTTTGAGACCGCGCGCCATCCCGTGGATGGGACACGCACTGGAAACCTGCGTTGCCCCTTGATCCTTGGAAACAACCCCCCCCCCCCATCACCCTTAGTGTGTTCTTAAAATCTCCGCTTTCATCCACTCTCTGTGGACAGCATTTTGTTAAGTGTGTGTGTAGCAAATCATTTCGTAAGATTTTTTTTTTTTTCTATATGCCTTTATATTTTCTTACCACCGGTTTGAAAGTCCACTTGTTGAGGTTGTCTGAGCTCATCAAGTGTGCTTTTGGAAGCCATCCTCAGAGAATGAATGTCTTCGGGACTGGTTTTCAGTGAGATTTGGGAATTCGGGTGATCGTGAGACACAGTGGAAGAAAGCGCATTTTCAACAGCATGGGAATTCGGGTCATTGTGAGAAATAGAGTGCTGCACAGGAAAGAGCAGGCAGGTTTCACGGGGAGGTAGTCAGAGGAAAGCCAATTGTGTAGAAATGGGATCGGCAGCAGCGGCAACATCCCTGCCTGTGACATTCGAAGCCTGGCTTTCAAAAAACACTTTAAATCCACACCCTGTGCTTTCTGCTATAACCAACACTAAAGGCAAGTGCGGGATTCTTTTAGGATCCCATTTGGCCAAGGCCTGGGTGGTTAGCTGTTTTGTCGCAGAGGTCCCTTCCAATTTCCGAATCCCAAGATCTCAACGATTTAAGGGAATTTGGGCAGCACTCAGACTCTTAGTAACCAGGAACAGACAGTCGTTGCCTGGCTGCCCAAAATATTGAGCCCTGCAGTCATTTTCTGATACTCAACTAGTGTCCCTTATCTCCTGGGAGTTTGCAGATAAACCCTCTAAGGGCTGAAAGCTTAAAAAAAATGCACATATATGCAAAAGCCAGATTTAAGATAGCAAATGGCTTAATGTGCACAATAGCCTGATGTTTTCTGCTCAGATGGAAAAGCCAAATAATCATGTAAAGGACACATTTTTACTGGAAGCAGCAAGACATTAGGCAGGTACTTTTTGGTAAGAGTTCTCTTTTGGGCAGTCGTGAACACAGATGGCTGGTTGAGGTGTGGTGTTTGAGCACTCTGTCTTTGGAGGCCATGCCAGAGGGATATTTTCAGCATGGCCCGAAGCAGAAGGCAGTTACTGCCATGAGTCATAATTGAAGGGGGAATTTCGCTTGGGGTGGGCTGTGTGCTCTTGGGAGGAGCCCTCCTGGCCTGTGTGATACTGAGCACCAACAGACGCTGTGGTTTTGGTTTTTATGGATCATTTTGGTTTAACTTCCAGTAAAGCATTGTAGAGCCTGTGTTTGGGACGATTCCGTTTCCTTAAATGTAAAGTTGGCTTCACAGTATGTTCAGTTATTAATTTTAGACTGTTGGGTGAGAAGGATGAACAGCCATTTATACTGATTGGCCTTTAAGGAACCTTCTGGTGCTCTGAGAGTGTTCTGACTGTTTCTTAATAGCACGTGTTTTTGTAACATTTAGTAGGTTGAGAAAACTGCTTGTAGAAATTGAAAAAGGAAATAATCTTTCTCAATAAAAGTAATTACCAATCCTTTTACCATACTATAAATGCGTGAACCAATTAGACAAAGTTAGGTTAAATATTTCTTCAAAATGGTGTGTAGAGATAATCAGCAGGCTTGATTAGATGAATATACTCAGCCACATGGCTTTCTCAGTTCCTACAAATTCTAAGTGAATCATTTGCTCAGTTCATTTTGAAGAGCTGTTGCATCATATATGGCAATAATGTACAGTAAGGCTTTTCGAAAACCAGAATTTGGCTTCTTGACTGAGGTGGAAGACTATTTTTAACACCCCCTCCTTATAATTTTTTTGCTGTGGTGAGTTAGTGTTTGGAAAGAATTCTTTTTTTTTTTTTTTTAGTCATTGTGGACATACATTTAAAAATTATTTCTTTGTGTTACCGTTACATGCTGGGCAAGTGCTGCCTCCAAAGCCCTTTTTATTATGATTTTAATTTTTTCTAGACTTTCATATGGGAGTACTGTATTCAGATTACTTCTGCCCCGCCCTTTCCTCCATATTTATATCTGTGTGTGTGCTTGCGTGTGTGTGTGTGTGTGTGTGTGTGTTTGTGTGTTTGTGTGTGTGCGCGCGCACTCGCATGCATTCATGTAGCCTCTAGAGCTGGAGCTACAGGCAGTTGTGAGCTGCCTGATGTGGGAACCGAACTTGTATCTTCTGGAAGAGCAGCATGTACTCTCAACAGTGCCAGCCATCTCTCCAGTCTCCGGAAACCCATCTTTTTAAAGCACCTGCTGTGTGCGAGTGTGCCACTGTGCAGTGAGGAACGAAGTGAAGTGTATGTACCAAAAGAACTTCTCCTCTAGCCTGGCAGCCCTCTCTAGGGAATGCAGTGTTTATAAAACTCTATTTTCTTGGTGCCTGAAGTTATTTTTCCTAATGGGTAGGTCTAAAACGTCCCTCTCCCCCTTCTTAAGCAAGGAATAGAAAGTAAAATTTAACCTGTTTATATCGACTCAGTGTCCCATTGCTGTGATAAAATATTCTGGCAGAAGCAACCTAGGTAAGAGGGCTTTATTTGGCTCTCAGTTGAGGTTATCCTTACTAGGAAGTCACAGTGACAAAGGCAGCTACTTACATCAAGTGCCTCTGTCTCCATTTCATACCATCCCGCATCCCCTGACCAGGAGTAACCCTGCATGCAGTTAAGAAGGCTCTTCATTCGTTCATTAATGTAATCAATATAGCCTGCCTGAGGCCCACCTGGAGTTTGTCAACTTGACAACAGTAACCATAACACAGCATTGTCATTTCAAAAGCGTTGTTGGTGAACCCTAAGTTTTATGTCTTGTTATGAGGTGTTCTGTCTTGGTACTGCCTGAACCTGGAAAACATGAACTTATGAATTGTTTGGGTGCGTAGGGCCAGAGTGGTTTAATGTGGTGTGTCTCGTGGGACCACTTACACTGTATTGTGACGTATAGTGATGGAAAGAAAACGGACAGCCACACTCCTTCCGGCACGCTCACTATGTTCTTAGTTGATGGTAGCTCTCTGTTAGCCTGCGAGGTAAGATTCCAGGGAACATGAGTTTGGCTTGCAGCACTGAGGGAAGTCATCACTCTTGGTTACAGACTTTGCCTCTGAAGCTAGTCTGATGGGTGTATGCTTTAGTTGCTGAGGAAATGTCAAAGAGATGAATGGTTGAAGTTAAAAGTATTTCTGCCTTAGCTGTGTAGCAGCAGAGAAGGGAGGAAGGGTGGGAGGGAATCTGCTCTTTCTATAGGTTATCATGTCTGCATTAAAAAAATGGGAATTTCTTTAGCTTTCTTTGAGTCTGAGTGCATTTATTTGCCTGGAGGTAGCATCTTCTGTCAGTAAAGGAAGGCCACATTCTGCACTTGGGAGTTGGTCAGCTTGTTCAGTCGTCTGTTTGGGAGAAAGAATTTTAGAGACTTGTTGGGATGAAAACAGTTACTCTATGTTAGCTGCCAAGAGTGGTAACAGAACTGGGGCAAAACCTCTGTTTCCTGTAGTTTTTTTCCATTACAAGAAGAGCAACCTTAATCTGAAATGCTTCCAAAACCAAAGATTTTTAAGTGCTGAAGGGACACTTACAAGTGGAAAACACCAAACATGACCTCCTGTGATAGGACGCCGTCAGGAACCAAAGCACGCTATAAAGTCACCTTTGGGTGATGTGTAAGCTGCACATGGATTTCGTGTTTAGATTGGAGCCCCATTCTCCATATATCTCATCTGCATATGCAAATCCCAAATCTGACATCGAACCGCTGCTGGTTCCAGACATTTTGGAAAAGAAATGCTAATTCTGCATCTGTTCTCATGAAGGCTGGGCCAGTTATATTGTGCTTGGATGGGGCTGCGGTAGTGGTTTTTGGGTTGTTAAAGAGAAGGCTGTGAGTCTTTATCTGTCTAGAGATTGCAGGACATTTTGGGCACATGTTGGCCATTACAAATTTCACCGTGGAGAGTCCAGAACTCATGTGGCTGAAATCGATTTTCTCTGTGGTAAAAATAATCGATTAACCTGTTTTGATTTCTGTCCGCTCCAGGTTGGCAGCCTCGATGGTTCGTTCTAGATAATGGAATCCTGTCGTACTATGACTCACAGGATGATGTGTGCAAAGGGAGCAAAGGGAGCATAAAGATGGCCGTGTGCGAGATTAAAGGTAAGGGAGCAGGGGTTTCTGTAGCCTGCTCCTTCTACAGATTTTCACATCCTCCTCTGAAGCAGTCAAGGGGAGCAGGTAGCGCTGTTGAACACAGGTTTGGTATTCCCCCTTTATAAATATCTCCTGCATTGAAATTCAAATTAGCTTTTCCCAGGTTGACTCGATAGATAATTTCTTGTGTCGTCTAGATGTGTTCTGTTTCATCCTCAAGGAAAGATTTTGGAAGGTTGAAGCTGAGCTCTGTAGCTGAGGCGGGCCATCTCTGTGGGATAGAGTGCAGAGTGGATGTTTAAAGCTTGGATTCTGACTGGAGTTGAGCATTCGCGTGTAATAGAGAGGGTTTCCTCTTTCTGAAGGGGAGTAACGGAAGGACATGGGGTGCATTCTTGTATGTGCCTGAAGGGTGTGGGTGAAGGTGGGTAGAGTGAAATCAGATAAAATGATGTGGAGATTTAAATTCTTCAAGGAGGACTGAAAGGGAAACAGGACCAGAGGAACAAATGTTCAGTCCCCTCCAGGCCTTTCCCCTCAGAGTTTGAATACTTCAGTCCAGCGTGAGGGCTTGCTCAAAGCCTGCAAAAGTCTAGAGGAATTCTGTCCTATGCATTTGCTTAATGAGATGAATGCAGTGAGCTGCATTTTCCAGGGCTGGGTTGGCATGATTTTATGGTAATTCTAAGTAAGATTAGCCAAGGAGGGAAGGAAGTTTTCCCTTTTCTCTTTCTTTCTTTCTTTCTTTCTTTCTTTCTTTCTTTCTTTCTTTCTCTCTCTCTCTCTCTCTCTTTCTTTCTTTCTTTCCTCTCTCTCTCTCCCTCTTCCTCTCTCTCTCTTCCGCTTCCTCTCTTCCCTCTTCCTCTCCCTCTCTCTCTTTCTGCCTTGAATTCATATTCTTTTTTTTTTATTTAAGTTTTATTTTGTGTGTATTGCTGAGAGGGTGTTAAATCCCCTGGAACAGGACTTACAGACAGTTGTGATTTGCCATGTGGGTCCTGGGACTTGGACTAGGTCCTCTGGAAGAACAGCCAGGTCTTTTCAGCCCCTGGGTTAATATTCTCCAGCTAGAGTTCTGCCTCTTTATCTCAAACTCAGTAGTAATACCATCATTTCTCCTTCCATTTCCTTCTCTTCTCTTTTTTTTTTTTTTTTTTTTTTGAGACAGTGTGTAGCCTAGGTTGGCCTGGAACTCAGTGTTTTTACTTTTTCTCTCCATGCTGGGATTATCATCATGCAACATTGTCAGCTTGGGCTAGATCATACTGTCCTGGGAGAGTTCTTAAAATGTATATGCTTGCTGAGTGTGTGTGTGTTTGTGTCTTCACTGTTCACTTTTAAATTAAGAATCATTACTGTTCTAATGGAAGAGTGTCATGATTTTATAAACTATAGACATATATTAGTTTGAGCTGTTACTCTTGTGTGTTCCCTAAAAGTAAGGGCCACTATTTTGTATTTTTCACAATCATTTGCCAGTAAGTCTTAGCTTGCCATGTCCTCATTGCTGGGGTCTTTATAGCTCATTTTTAGCTGTGCCCTCATCACCCGTGAACATTTAGAAGTGCTGCTTTGTAAGTAGTTTATGAGCCGATGTTGAAACGGGCTTACAAAACACATTCAGAGAATTTTTATTCAGCTCTAACAGGTGGTTAAGAGAAACGAAAATCCCTTTTTGGGGGGCGGGGTGTTCTTGGGACTGGACCTAGGGCCTTGCATATCCTGGGCAGCTCTTGTTAGGTCAGTTTAGTAGAGTTCCTATTTGCCACAGAGATTTCATCTTAGTTTTCAGCTCTTCAGCCCTCTCACCTACTCCCTGGCTATCAACTCCCACTTTTTTTCGTTGACTGTGGGGTTGGGGGTGGACAGGGACTGAACACATTGCTGTGATAGTCCATGTTACCACGATGGACCCAAATAAAGTGTACTGTACATGCTAACAAATTTTCAGGAACACGTTTCCCAGGGCGCAGGGTATGGCTCCGAGGTGCAGAACATGCCCCGCACGACCTGCAAGGGCTTTTATTATCATTATCTTTTCTAAGTTCCCTGTTGGTCTCTGTCCCTCTTTCTGAACGTGGCTATCTTTTATATTGATTCATAGCTGTTCTTTGTATAATGTAATGAGTTTGCAAGGTTGTCCCGCTCTGCTTTTGTTCTGTCCATGGTGTCCTTTGACGATCAAGATCCCAGCAAATGTACACATGTATAATGCCACAGTAAATTAATTTGGCAGGAGCTGTGTGGATGTGGTGACACTCACGTGTAATCCCAGGCCTGGACAGCTGAGAAGAAAGTTTGAGGATACTCTAGTTTAAGTAGTGAGTGCCAGGCTGGCCTCAGCTACATAGAAGACCCTGTCACGGCAGGCAGATGGACAAACAAGGAAATGCCAAACAAGTGGAAATTAAAGATCTGCTAATCCACCTCCCTGTCTTGAAGCTGCTGTTTAGTTTCTTGGAGTCATGCTTTGTGTTTGGGTTTAAGTGACCCTGCTGCTGTGTCCCCGTCTACCCGTCCCTCCCCCCGGAATTGATGTTTTGCTTCCTTGGATGACAGTGTTGAAGTCCTAGTATGGGTAAAAGCGAATTATCTGTTTTACTGTCATCTGCTGTCCCTGTTTTGTTGCCATTGCCGCCTTGGGTGGTAGGGAGAAGGTGGTTCTCACGGGGCCCCTGGGGCTTAGAGAGTGGCCTGCCTGTGTGCCGAGTCTCATTTGCTCTAAGCGTGTGAAGCATCCAGTGCTGTGTGACATGACTGTGCTCCGAGTCGTGACTGTTTCCTCTTGTGTCATCACAGTCCACTCGGCAGACAACACGAGGATGGAATTAATCATTCCAGGAGAGCAGCATTTCTATATGAAGGCAGTGAATGCCGCCGAGAGACAGAGGTGGCTGGTCGCCCTTGGGAGCTCCAAAGCGTGTTTGACTGACACAAGGACTGCAAAAGAAAAAGGTGATCGCAGGTTCCCTGTAATAACTACTTGCTAAGCTAAGTGTGCCCGGCTACTTTGAGCAATCAGAAGGAAATCAGTAACGGAGAATTTAAGAGTAACTTTTATTCGCCTGATGTAATTGTCATCTCCAAGGCTTACTGTCTCTGTCTGCTAACCTAGACCTAGTTCTGGAAGCTTCCAGCCTCTGTGCAATCCACTCTATTCCTAGAATGCTTTCAGCCTCTGAGAGTTACTGCTGAATAAGCTCACCCTTTCTTGTTCTTTCTGAACTCTTGCTAGCTGGTTTAACTCAGCTGTTCTGGCTCAAACTCCTCTCCTAGGTGACTGATTCAATCTGGCTTCTCTCTCGGCCTCTGACTGAATGCTCTGCTTGGCTTCAAACTAACTCTAGTAATCTGTTCTAATCTTTTGGCTCCTTCTCATTCTTGGGCTTAACTGTCTTTACCTGTGTCTGGCTTGTTCTCCCTACAGTCTGTCTCTGCAAAACTGTCCCAGTGTGTCTGTCCATTAGTCTGCCCTGCCCCTGCCCCCCCATCCCGTGTGCTGATCCTTTTAAGTCACCCGTCCTTCCTCTCTGTTCTCCTGAGCATTGGACATGTCCTATTCTTTCAGATCTTTCACTTTGTTTGCCTTTCATTTAGACATCATTTTCAAACTTGGTTGCTTCCTTCTATTAACTAACTGCTTCCTTCTATTAACTAACTACCTTCATTGTTTGGGATTCAAGGTATGTGCTAAGGGCGTGTCTGTATTCCAGCCAGAGTAGCCTTGTTGCTGGGTTAAAATTCCTTTACCGTGGAAGGCTTACATAGATAGACCACTATGGTAAGAACTCTGTGAACAACTTAAAGGTCTAAGTTTAGAAGAATCAATTGGAAAGCCATCGCTGTGCTCAGATGATACGTTATGAGGCCGTGGAAGTGTTTACAAGGAGGTTTAATGGCCTGGGAAACTGTCCTTGGTTAACTGATCATTGAAAAAGCAGGACAAGGACCTGAGTTCAATCCCTAGCACTCCCATAAAGAGCAAAAGCATGGTGGCACATACTTAGAATCCCAGGCCTCATGAGCTGGAGACAGGAGGCTCCCTGGGGCTCCCTGACCAGTCAGCCTAGCTTCATTTATGAACTCCAGGTCAGTGAGAAACCCTTTCTCAAAAGAGGAGGACATTGTTCCAGAGGCTGACATTTGCAGTTGCCCTTTGTACACACATATGCATATAAAGAATTTTTAAAAATTAAAAAATAGCCAAGCAAGGTGGCATACTTAATCCCAGCAGTCAGTGGGACAGAGGCAGGCAGATCTTTGGGCAGCCTGGTCTACAGAGTGAGTCCAGGACAGCCAAGGCCACACAGAGAAACTGTCTTAAAAAAAAAAAAAAAGTAAATAAATAAATAAAACCAATCTTAGGTTAATTTAGTGAAAACTAAGTTATACATGTTTCTGTAAGTTAGAAAATGCAGGAATTTATAATGATACTCAGCTATAGCAAAGAAAAATTACTGATAAAGTATAGCTAAGATTAGGACAAGAAGTAGCTAAAAGATAGGCACAATCTAAATCTCCAGAGGTACCTGGGTAAGTAAACTGTTGTGGGACCCGTGCAGCGAAATATTCATCTTTAAAGAGGAAGGGGATTTGGGCACCTGCTACACCGTAACTTTAAAGACAGCATCTTAGTGAGATCGGCCTGTCACAGAAAGACATTGACTGCACTCATTTCAAATGCCAAGGACATCGAAGTTTATATAACAGAAAGGAGAATGGAATCGAGGGGGGGATGCGCTCAGTTAGGATTTCGAGGCAGGGGGATTTTGAGTTTGAGGCTAGTTGGGGCTGCATAATGAGACTCTCTAAACATGTGAAGTAGAAAAGGAAACAGGGTGTAGAATGGTGGTGTTAGCGCCTACATGGAGGAGGACGAGGTTAAAGGGGACAGGGCCAGAGAGGTGGCTTGGTGAATAAAGTCCTGGAGAAATGGGGTTTGGATGACACCAGAACTAGCATGAAAGCTGAGTGGGTGTGTTCCCGCGCGTGGGTGCAGGAGACGCCTGCGGCAAGCCAGCTAACTGGACTAGCTGAGCGGGATTCGCCAGGTTCAGTGAGAGAGCCGCCTCAGTTAACAGCGTAGAGCAAGGAAGGGCGCCTGAGGTCAGCCTCTGGCCCTGACACCTGTGTTCGTGTGTAGTCATGCCAGCACACACGAATGTACAAATGCCCCCCCACCCACCCAAAGGACTATAATTAAATTTGGGCAAGAGTTGATTTAGGTCACATACAGCTCAGTGCTGCTCTGCTATTTTCTGCCAGGAAGCAGCGGCCCTGGCCTGGCTCAGACACTCTGGGAAGATCAGCAGCTACTCACTGTGTAGCCCCACTGTTTTTGTACCTCTGCAGCTTTTATTTCTGCCTTAAAAGATATCGGCAGAGGTGACAGGGACTGCGGATGTGTCTAGAGTCCCTAAGGAGAAGAAAGTAAGCACTGCATTAAAAATATGGAGACCAGCAGAATGTGAAAATGGGACCGGAAGGAAGGCAGTGAACAGGTGTTGATGCAGTGCCTTTTCTTACCCGACAGGCTGCAGCCTCTACGCTAGGATATACAATGAAGGAAACTGGTTACCAGCTTATATGTTAAAAGAAAAACTAATACAGAGCTGGAAAAAATGTGGGAGGAAAAGGAAAATGCTACTTCACAAAAGTAGAAATTCAGGTTTCACGTGGAAGAAAAAGAGAAATAGAGTGGAATTGTTGTGTATTAAAGTACCCAGGGAGGCGGGTGTGGTGGCACACGCCTTTAACCCAGGAGGCAGGTGGATCGCTGTGAGTTCGAGGCCAGCCTGGTCTACAAAGCGAGTCCAGGACAGCCAGGGCTATACAGAGAAACCCTGAATCAAAAAACAAAAACAAACAACAGCAAAAATAGAAGAAAAAGGAACAACAACCCACCCAAGGATTGGGACCAGGCCAGCAAGGTGTCTCTGTGAGTACAGGTGCGTGTGTGCTGGCCTGGTGACCTGAGTGTGAACCCTGCGCCTCACACGGCGCCCGAGAAGCAGCGACTCCTCAGAGATGTCTTCTGCCCTCCGTGTTCGTCTCGGCACATGCACGTGTGCGCACACACAGGCACACACACACAGACGCACACACACAGACACACACACACACAGATACACACACACAGACGCACACGCAGCTACCCTGTGTGCATACTCATTCTCTTCCCTTCCTCTCCCCCATCCCAGACGTGTGTGTGTGTGTGTGTGTGTGTGTGTGTGTGTACATGTGGAGGCCAGAGGCTTATGGTGGAAGTCCTTACTCTCACCACCTTATTTTTATAACAGGGTCTTCAGTTGAACCTGTAGCTCAGTGATTGGCATCTGCTAGGTGGGCAGCTAGGCCCCCCAGTTTCCTGTAGCTCAGATTGGGGTACAGTAACTAGGTGAGCAGCTAGCCCGAAGGTTCTCACGTCTCCACCTTCCCGGTGCTAGGATTATACAGCACCACCAGGTCCAACTTTTTTTATGTGGGTTCTGAAGATGTGGCTCAAGTCCTTATATTTATGCAACAAGCACATCACCACCTGAGGTATTGCCTTAGCCTCTGTTGCCTGCTTTTGAAATCGTCGTTTTAGTGTATTACCAAAGAATATGAAGATGACATAGTTTGATATTTATATGTTTCTCTTAGAAATAAGCGAGACCAGTGAATCTCTGAAAACCAAAATGTCTGAACTTCGCCTCTACTGTGACCTCCTCATGCAGCAGGTTCATACAATCCAGGAGTTTGTCCACCATGATGAGAACCACTCATCTCCCAGTGTGGAGGTACTGCTGTCTTTCCGGGATCCGATTCTGCCACGTCCTGCCTGGGGCCTCCTTAGCTCTCTAGGCTGACAGAAACATCACCCCAGAGTTGCTTGCAGCTCTTGAGAGCTCCAGCTGTGTCCTCCACAGGGCTGTGTGAATCCTCTCTGCCCTAGAGGCAAGCATGGAAGCAGCTTGTTTCCCCACGGAGGCAGGCCTGTCTCTGCAGCCACTCAGTAGTTGGGGGACAAGGATCAGGAAGAATCGTCCTGGCCTGTGTTCTCAGTTGTATGAAACAGCAGCTGGATTTTGTTTTGTTTTCTCCTTAGTGATAAGATATTTCTTGGCTTTAATTAATTTTCTCTTTGGCCATTCAGGCAGCGCCTGATCTCATGGTATAAGCCTGCTCAGTCTCTACGTGTTCTTTTCCAGAACATGAATGAAGCCTCTTCCCTTCTTAGTGCCACCTGTAATACATTCATCACAACCCTCGAGGAATGCGTGAAGATAGCCAACGCCAGGTTTAAGCCTGAGATGTTTCAACTGCCTCATCCGGATCCCCTGGTTTCTCCTGTGTCTCCTTCTCCTGTTCAGATGGTTGGAACTTCTTGTTTTTCTTTTAGCAATATAAATATGTTTACATTAAAATAAAGTGAAGTGTGTGTGTGTGTGAGGTGTGTGTGAGGTGTGATCTTCTGTAGCTCTCTTTCTATCTTATTTTTGAGACATGTTCTCTCTCTGGACCTGGAGCTCATCAGTAGTATAGACTGGTGAGCTCGGGGCATCAGCCTGCCTTCCCCGGGTGTGGCTGCAGATGCACGCTGCCATGCCTGGCTTTTATTTGGGTGCTTATGATAGATAGTCTTTCGAGGCGCTTTACCCACAAGGCCCATTCGCAGCCTCCCTTCTCTCGATACCCTAGTTTTCCTTGTACGACTGGAAGGGGCAGTGGGGAGGGAGCAGTCACAGGCCGCACTGCTTTTGTCTGTGCTGGTAATGGGTCCTCTCAGCCAAGGAGCTTGGCGCATGTACTGATACCTTGATCTCTCTGCTCTGAAGGCGATGAGAATGGCCGGCCCTGCCACTCTAAGCCATTTGGCTGTGTGTTCAGAAAGCATTTTAGTGCAGTGTGTATTGTGACAGAGAAAGCTAGGCATGTGCGTCCGCTTGGTAAAAGTGTTGAAATAGAGCAATGCCTCATTCTTGAGGGGAGCTGTTAAACGAAACTTGAACCTCCCAGTGGGAACAGGGTTTTGCAGTCAGCATTTGGATTTGAATTCTCTGAGTAGGCAAGTTTCTTCATTCCTGTGGTCCTTCACCTGGGAAATGTCCTTTGTGTCAGGAGGTCACTTAGTGGTAGGTGCTTAGTGTTCCTCTTGATTGCTCTGCACACCAAGAACTCTTTGCTGGGGGTGGTGGGCTCCGTGTGCTTTTCCTGCTGTTGAGTGCGCTCCGGCCTGCTGCGAGGAGCCTCTGGTGAGATGAGGTTTGAGAGCACTGCATTGTGCTCACTGAGCCCCCTCCCGGAGGCGGAGTCTACCTGGCTCTGTTCTAGCAGTTCCTGGACGCTGGCTGTGAGGACAGCGGGGACAGCTCGTGCCCATGTTCTCTTGCCCACCCCAGCAAGTTCATTCATGGAGGGGGAGTAAAGAGCATTTCCCACGGTTAAGTCTGTTCTTCATCGGTGAGCGCGGGCTCACCGTGTCCCTCGCAGGAAGCGTTGCGGTCAGATGAACTGGGGAAGTTGCAGTGATGTAGTGAGCAAGTGTTTCCTGTCTCAGTCTAGCAGGGAGCCCCAGCCTGCTAGGCTTCGGCAGCACCTCTCTGTGCTGTGTTGTGGGGGGCAGGAGCAGGTGTCAGGTGGTAGTGAGCTATTCGGAGTGGGTTCTGGGAAGCAGGGTCAGCCCTGTCTGTGAGGAACACTCACATGCTGAGCCGCCTCGCTAGGCCCTTCGAGGGTGAATACTTGTAAGGGAAGTGGCTGTGAACGGGATGTTGGTGCCCCGTCATTCTAACCACAGACATCTGTCATCATGCAGCTAGGGGTTCTTGTCAGCTGGCATTGCAAACACAGAAGGCACTTAGAGAACATGGTAGATGTGGGCCCGTGTGTATAAACATGCTAAGCCTTTAGTACAGACAGCTTCCCTGTCTCCTTGGTAAACCGAGATAATCTGACTTATTAGTGCTGCCCTTTATTGCTGGGTGGGCAAGCTGGCTGTTCTCAGTTATGTGTGATTCCCCATCCTTATTACATGTTCTGCTTTATCAGACTGTATTTTTTTTTTTTTTTCTTCAAGCATGTCATTTTGCTTTCATAGTTTCAAGGCTTGGACTTAGGGCCTGTGTACGGTGGGCAAACACTCCTGAGCTTACACCTGCAGCTCATTGGTTGTTTAAGTAAATGCTTTAGAAACCTATTGAGGTTTAGGGCTTTTTCCTGAGTTCTTCACAGACTTTGCTTACTGATGCTGCCCTCTATGAAAGCTACACTGGCACATGTGTGGAAGCTGCTTGAATAGTGATGGCAAAAGAAGGCTTTCCTGCCACGCTCTGCTCGTGCCCTTCAGAATGAAAAGAAAAGGCATTTATTAAGAGTATTTTCTGGTTTGCTAGGTGCTCCTTTTTATTATGAAAATAACTTTTAGATTGGTTATGTATATACTGTAATTTATACTTTTACATATTACATAATACATACATGATTAGAATTTAACATTTTTTCCTGTATGTGTTGAGAAATTTCCAGTTCATCATTATTAGGGAGAGAGTTTGACATTGTGTTGAGGGTTTGACTTGAGCCTATAGAAGATAACTATCTTCTCCAGGCATCTATTTCTCTGAATAAATTTATGTTAATTATGATAATGAGTTAGAGGTGCATTTATTCTCTTTGACTAAAGCTTGAGCTAAGGCCTTTCTCTCTTTCACATTTCTAGATGAAGCGTTCAGCCAGCCACCCTGGTTCCTGCACTTCAGAGAGGTAAATCTACCATTTCTTCTGACTAAATCCTGTCTGAGCAGTGCCTCTCCAGCTGCTGTGGATGTCAGCTCTGCGTGGAGTAGGTCTGATAGTCCGTGTGTCATGGGGCTGGCTTCAGAAAGGGGTGTGGAAAGGAAACCTACAAGTGTGAATTAACCCAAAGGTGGTGCCCTGCTGGCTGTTGTAGCTTCTTGGGTTTTTGAAATAATATCAGGAAATATGGGCCAGTGAGAGGGCCCAGCAGGTAAATGTACCAAGAAATACATTTTGTTAAAGTAATAATGATAATAATAAAATATATCAAGTGATGGCTAGAGAGAAATTTGTGTCGCTGTGTTGAGCCGCCAGTGTCCCAGCTGCTCTTCTCTAGGCACACACGGTGGCGGGCCTCGCCCTCCTCTGCTCTCTGGGCAGCGAGGGAGCTAAAGCATTTATTTCTCCAGGCTGACTCTGAAGTCCAGGGCCTTGCTATTGTTTTGTCTCTTTTCTTTGGTAATTATATACTCTTTGCTGAATTGATCTGATCAGAGGAAGGCAATAATTTATATCCTGTCAGGGTATAAAGCATTAAAAAAAAAAAAACAAAAACTATAAGTTTTCTTTTCCTTTCCTTTCCTTTCCTTTCCTTTCCTTTCCTTTCCTTTCCTTTCCTTTCCTTTCCTTTCCTTTCCTTTCCTTTCCTTCCCTTTCCTTTCCTT